CTCGGGCGCGGACGCAGGATGCGAGGCTGTTCGGTCATGATGGGTAAATGAGTTCTGATTCGTGTCGTGTATTGATTTCAAGGTTCGTCGTTTCCGTTGGTTTCTCTGTAGGAAAACAGAGTCTCCGATGGCCGGCGCAACAAAAGCCAAACTGTATCTTGTTTATCCCACGCGGCCAGGTAATCCCAATGTTGTAGGTAGAGCTTTAGTATATTGTACAAGATGATTTGTGCGCGTCTGGGAATGTGTCAGAGGCGAAATGTGTAAATATGGGGAAAGGAGAGAACGGAGAATGGAGAATGGGGCAGCTTAGCGGGATATGACGCTTACCGGAAATATAAACTTCCTCGGAGCAATTGGGTAACAAGGGTTAACTTGCTATTTATGCTGACCCAGGTGAATTCAGGAAGAGAAGAAAAGCCCAAATATAAAGTGTCTCAACAATTTTTGCCTTAGGAATCCGCTTCGTATTGTTGGCCGCACCACTCTGCAGCAATTGTATCCACTCTGAGACCGTATTGCCGTACTCGTATGATCAAGCTTTTGTCTTGAATGGGGATTAAAAAATATTTGAGATTGTGGAAAGAAAACAATCCAAAGCTATGGGAGTGGGCAGATGTATGAGAGGAGAAAGAGGGGAATTATCACATGCGGCATCGGATGTTGAGGTAGTACTGGCCACTTACATTTAAGGGCTTGGATGAAATTGCCTTAATACAACCATTCCGAAAGGGAATGATACGCCTAGAACACAGGAGAAAAGACATAAGAAACAGTAGATCGTGATACACAAGATTTCAAAAGAAGAAAAAGAAAGAAAAAAAAAAACGCCAACCATATTAGTCTTCCATCGCGTCGTCTCCATAACCTTCCCCGCGTGGGCCAGCTGGACCCCTCGGGGCAGGGGACGAAGCTTCATGTCGTGCGTAACCATTGGCGCCTTCATAGGTAGAGGAATTTTCGTCACCGTCCACGTCGTCTTCGTCGTCCTGATCATCAGAGAAGTCCCCTTCCTCATCGGCTCGGAGAGGGGCACCTCCATCATCTTCCTCGCCAGAAACTTCGCCAAGGAGTTCACGGTCGAGATCGTCCAGCTCCCCCTCCACGTAGTCATCGGGTCCGTGCTCCGGGTCCCAGGTTGGGGTACCCATAGCCGATGGCACGGCCCCCAAACCATCAGGATGGTCGTGACTGCCCTTGGCATGTGACGCTGCAGCTTTCTTGGTAGTGCCAGGAGTGCCCGTTACACCCGTAGACTTACGCTTGGTAGCTGCACTGGGGCGGGGACGAGGACGGGATCGGTTGTTGGAGCTTCGCACATCAGCTTCCAGGGCCGCCTTGGCCTGGTATCGCTCCTCACGCTCCCTTTTGCGATCCTTCTTGGGGCCATTGGCTTCGGTGTAATCCCAGCGATCGAGTCGGCGGGCAGCTTTTCGCACTACAGAGAGAAAGACGTTTGCACATTCTCCAAAGTCATCCTCTTCTTCCGGGTTCGGGAAGAGACCACCCTTTCCCCACGAGGTCTCTTCGTCATCTGTATCGTAGCCCTCGGGCAAACCCTGAAGCAAGCGACCGTAGCGCGCGAAAGGAATCTCACTCTCCCGTTTAGCACGAAGAACGCGGTATGCATTTGATTTACGTTTGGCCAGCAGATAATCAATCCTTTGCCGACGATTTTGCTCAACGGCTATCTGGTGCTGTGTAAGTGGCCGCATCCGACGCATAGTAGGGGCTGAAGAAAGCGAAGGCTCGGCAATAAAGCGGTTAAGGACAGGATGGTTCGGGCCCGGAGGAGCGGGGGAGGCATCGGGAGTATGTTCCATCCTCGTTTTCAAGATGAGTCGCTGTTGGCCCACGGCCCGATTAAGTGATGATTCCCGCTTGGCCTGTTTGGGGCGGGGACGAGAGTGACCAGGGGTCATTTCATCGTCCTCATCATCCAAGCTTCGTTTAGCAGAAGGGTGGAGAGGGGTGGACATGGCAGAGCCACGACCTCCCATGCCAGAATAGTCTCCTGCGAATGATTCTTCGTCAAAGCCGTATTCTGCAATTAGGGAAGGTTAGCGTTCTGAGGACGTGTATATGTGACAGTTATTCAGAATGCCGAGCTTACCTTTTTTTGGTCGCTTGGGAATGCGCGGCAGTGGCTCCTCTTCTTCTAGAATGCCTGTACTCAATGTTAGTCGAGACCCATTCTCAATAGCTGTCAGAAGTAGTAGGCACACGTACGCTTGCGTTCTAATCTTTTGGACTCTCCATATTCCTGTTCCTCAGGTGTATCCAAATTCTCTTCACTGGCCTGTTCCTCTGTCAAGATATCAAAGGAAGGTACTTTCAAAGGAAGACCCTCCGAACCCTCGCCTTCCACACCCGGACCAAACGGATTGTTCAGAGCGGCCTCGCGACTGAAATCACTCTCTAGATACCACCACATCAACCAGAGGAACGCCCTAGCGCGACTTTGGCTGCTAAGTGTAGATCTCATGACCAGGTCGAAGAAGTCTCGCGGAGGAAAGAAGTGTGTTTCCGACACTTTGGGGGCGTACTGAGCCAGAACAAAAATCAAGTTCACTGGGTTGGTCCGGGGTATATTCTGTCGCTTAATCTTTTCCAGTGTATTCGGTTGGTCTACATCCTCTGAGGCGCCCTTCAGGATGGACTTGAGACGAGGAGCATCCTGCAGCTGCTTGTAGGCATTGGAATCCTGATGCGCTTGTAGTGAGGGGATCGAGTGGTAGGTTCGGAGCTGAGCACGCATTTCGGGGAAGACTAGAAACCAGGATAAGAGCAATTAGCACGGAAGTAAAGTAATGTTATAGCATAGCTGCAAGCGTACAGTTCAGGGTAGTGTTCATGCGACCGAAATTGACCAGCAGACAGACCATAGCCATATTAATAGCCGCAGGTTTGTCGTTCTGCAGTTTATCCTTCAGAATCTTGCTGGTCTTGCTGCTCCGGGCCATTGCATTGATGTAGACATCCGCGAAGTCCATTCCCTTCTGCCCGTCGGGATACCGCGTAAAAACGGACGTCTTATCCTCAAAGACCAGCTTCAGGAATTGGTACTGGATATCTTTGCGCCATAGAGGTATGCCATCATCTTTCTTCAGGTGTCGAATCTTGTTACCGGAGTAGACTGAGCCAATTGTGCCGTTCGCTTGCCGTCTTGTACCGACCGTCGCACTGGCGGTCATGCCGTGAGACTGATCATCCGCAGCTTCAGAAGCCGCGAAGGACTCGTCCATCATGCTGTTTTCGAAATCGGCCATTTTGGGTTATTGGAACCGGTAACAAGTGCGCGATCAGATTGTAGGAGAATCGCAGGTTGTAATATGAAGTGCCCCCTAGGAGGCGGCCGATGAAAGAGGCAGAAGTCGTATAAGAGAAAGGAAACAAAAACAGAAAGGACAAAAGTGAAAAGGAGTGCCGAGTGAAAAAAAAGGGAAAATGGAAAATGAAGTTCAAAAGGCCGGAAAAAGAGGAAGAAAGCAGAGCCGAGTGGCCCATGAAGGTATAGCTGGTGTGATATCTACCCGTATCAGCGAACGCGTTTAATATGCGGCTATGCCTAATAATGCCACGCATTTGGATTTGCAATTTATAGAGTAAGCAACGTAATAACTATATTAATAAGACATTTACCTGCCTTTGTTGTAGGTACATAGGTAGCCTTGGAATAAGTACCATTTACTTGGTTAATATATTTTATCAGCACATTCGGCCTGGTGACTTTTTAGTGGTCTCTTTATACGCTTCTTTCTAGACGCTCTTTTAGGTGTATATGAGGCGTTAAAAACACCTTCCTACATATGTACGGGATGGCACTCGAGACTTTTCCCTTTCCATTTTAGTGCTCACCTCTTGCCGCTTTTTGCTCTCAGAGTAAAATTGAGCACGCCTCCGAGCGCCCTGATCCGCTCACTGAGTATTACACAATCATACTGGTCTGCTCACTGAGCACCCTAGATCTACTCCCTGAGCATAAGCTAAGCGTAGGTATGAGCGACCTGACCTATATAAATAAAATGCAACACGCTAGTCACACCACGTGCGACTTCTTGATAGAAAGCTGGTGTACGAACAATGTATGGTATAGATGACCAATGTTGAAGACTAACTAAATTGACAAAACCCGCTATTTCAACAATCTATACGGACATTGATAACTAACTGTAATATGCACTTTTGTATGGTATGCCTAGTACCCAATGTCACATGATGTTTCCCGTATAATACTTAGTTTCTACTAGCTTTTCTACATAAATTATATATATCACGAGGTTAGTCGTATTTGCACTATTTATAGTGCTATAGCACTCCCGCCGTAGTACTGTAGTACCGAACCGAATGTCTAGTGCTTTTAAGCCTAGGTACTACAGTACCGAACCAAGGGCCTAGTGCTGCGGTAGCACTGGTGCTGCGGGACTTGTTAAGCTCTAATAAAGGCAGCGGCGTTATCTTCGACTAATAGTAGAGTATTCCTATATTTAACTTCTATAGTTATAGCTTTGCGGTCCCGAGCGAATATATTAAGATATCTAACGAGAGATTATTATCTATCTAAATAAAAAGCGTAAAGCGTATCTATAGGACTAGGGTCCTACGAATACGGACACTAGAAGCTTTAATAAAAATAGTTACTGTAATCGTTTACTTAATACGTACCTTAGTAGATCGCTACCAGAGTATATAGATCTATAAGAAGTAGTACTCGAGTCTTCTACGGCTATTATAAAAGGCCGAGGGGTTTATATCGTCTACTAATTAGGCATTTAGCCCTAGCGGACTACCGGCTCTATAGGTCTTTATATTCGGCGATTTCTCTTATAGCGATCGATATAGGGGGTAGTAATTTTTGTTATAATATACCTTTCCTATGTAGGAGTATGGCAGAAAGGATGTCGCCGGTAATATATACGACTATACGACGCGATTGCCTTTCCGTCTAACTTAATGTTTTCGCCCTCTTCAGTCCAATTCTCAAAACCGTAACAACAAATATGTCTAGAAAGCAAGGTGCGTGCTCAAGATGCCCAATCCCCAGTGGAGCTTTTCTGATCTAGAAACACAGAATTCAGCAAAAACATAGGACCCATCGATGTCAGTACTGCAGAGCCAAATTTGCTAAACACACCCTTCCACCTCGCATTGCTAACTGTAAAAACAGATCAAGGGCTTCCTTGACAAACAGACTGGTCACATCGAAGGAGCATTGGGCATGGACTTGGGGCCTGCTGGATACCAAAAAATCAAACCATTCAGTGGCTCGTACACGGAAGGGGCTTCACAGGAACTCACGCTTCATATCTTCAGCATCTAGAAACAAAGAAGCTTACAATCAAGGGTGAAACTGGCGGTGTGATTGTTTTATTGGTCTGGCAAAGGCAAACTCATCTGATCACACTCCTCGATGCGGAAAGGCAGGCACATGGTATGATATAGGATTCTTCTATCTCATCTCTAAATATATTGCTTGCTAACTTGCAATTAACCTCCAGGGTCCCTAGACCTACACTTCACAGATCCAGAACCCAAGGGAACTCTCACTCTCACGGCCGAAGGGTCCCAAATCACGCGCCAGTTGACCTTCGTACCAACCGCATCCGCTATGACATCTTTGGAGGTCGACGTCCCCGTGACTGTGATTTACCATGATGCAGCGACCCTCAAACAAGCCAAACAGACGTTCACTGGGGAAGTCCTCAAGGATGGTCCACCGATGATTTACGTGACTTTTTCATCTGGAGTGGAGGTCAACGGAAAATTTTTAACAGAGCAGATTGAGCAAGCGGAAAGGAAAATCTGAATTGGAACTTGAGAGGGGACTGCCGCCTAGATAAGTAATTAGACCCCTGCCGAGAATACCTATCACCTTTCTTTTTGTTTCTGCTTGGGGCCTTAGTTGAATTAAACCACAATTGCTTTCTATTTTGTACTTCTTTCTTGTTTTTCTTTTTCGGAAAGAACTTGTCATGCTAAGCCATATTTGCCGCCATACTGTCCATGTATCTGATGCAATTTGGTCTGTAGCCTAAATAAGGTGACTGGCGACTATGCTAGGTAGAATAGACAACTACGAGACATCCGGTGCACGGCTATCTCTAGACAACCTTGGAAGAAACTTGGAATATTTCATTCGACTTTCAAAGTGCTGATATATATACGAAATATCAATATAATAATCTAGCCCTGAATCTTTTAAGACATTTCAGTGACACCCGTCATTTGATGGACCACCAGCCCACTTTTGGACCTTGTTATTCGCATAACAGCGCGCTTCAGTGAACACTGGCGAGTTGAACTTGGCCAACCACTCGTAACCGTTGCTGTCTGGCTCGTCAAAGTATTCGAAATACCACCCCGTCAGCCCATGGCCAAAGCAGCGCGTGCTGTTCCCTCGGAGCGTCTTTTGACCTTTGTCCCAGGTAGCCCATCCAGCACCCCGAATATTGTAACGGGTCCAGAAGCCATGGTAAACGCCATAGCATTTGGCGGATGACTCCTTTGGGACGGGGAATGGACGGTTCGTTCGAGTGGGTGAGATATCATAATTGTAAGCGCCATTGGCATAAACACCACCGGACTTCCAGTTCATGGGATTCTCTCGTCATTTCCATCACAACCATTGAGGATGCGGTTCACAGCCGCATGACAGCTTTTCTCATTTAAGGAGACCGCCATTGCGTCCTTGGAGATAGTGAAAGTCACTTCATCAACGGTGCCTTTGTTGTATGTCTTGGTGACTTTCGTGCTGGTTTTCATGTCGTCGTCCTGGTCTTCCCAGGTTGATATGACAGCTTTGCAGAACTCCGCCGTGTATGCGCACAAGAAGTAGGCGCTGGCGTATGATTTTGAGCCCGTACTCGAATGGCAAGTGAGGTCTCAACCAGATTACACGCCGGCGTGGTTGTCTGCTCCTTTTTGGCCACGGCATTACCAATTGCGAATGTGACATATGATGCAATGGCCTCATGGCCGAAGTTGGTCGGGTGGAATATTTTGCCAATCTGATCGGGTAACCATCCTCCGCCGGAGTTCGTGCCACAAACTCCAGTTGTTGGAGCATCCCTCTTGGAGAGAGGGTTGGATATCGACTCCCTTATTTGATCCCAATTGGCTTCTTCTGCCTCAAGTCCTTCCTGGACAGATGTGGTATTAGACGAGATTCCCAACATGGGGTCAGAGCCCAAATTCAAGTCTCTTCGATACACCGTCCCCGGGTTGAAAACCTTGTAGGTGGGTAGTTTGTAAAACATGGCGTAGTCATTAGTTGAGCTTGAGGGATCTGGCGAAGATCCTTTCTCGCAAAAGCGACCGCCGGCTGCCTCGCCCCAGGCACTCCAATCCGCGAATACAACGGTCGAGCTCGCCGTCCTCGCGACTTTGTCAACTGCAGACTTCAACTTCGCATTGGTGTTGGCAACGAGCGTGTGGAAGTAGGTTCGATGGGAGGTACTCAGAAGAAGACTGGTACTTCCAGCCTGCCCAGGGAAAACCCAATCCTCATTATTCGTGCAATCAGATGTCATGTTATCAAAATAGGGGGGGAAGGACGAGAGGACAATAATCCCTCGATCATCCATCTTATCGTCCAGTGAATTCAAAAGGGAGACAATATTGTCCTCCAGGATCCCATCAATGGCCGTCTGCGCTATCTTGATAGCCTTCTGACAGCTTGACTCACTTGTAACAGAGTTCAAAATACATGTTTTGATAATAGTAGTCTGGTCAAGATTGTCAGTAGCGGTCGCAGTCCCAAGACATTCTAAACTCACTAAGCAAAGATAATTTCCTCCTGCCGTCATCACGGCGAGATCCAAACCCTTTGATAACCGAGCGATCTGGGCCGCGATGTCGACCAACGTATCTCCTGAGCATGCCAAGTAGGTAAAATTGGACACAGAGCTGCTGAAGAACTGATTCATGATAGATGGGTATGAATAGTCGTATCGCGAGCAGACCGTATCTTCCTTCCGCGAACTGTGGACATTTCCTGATCCAATGCCGGCAGTGAAGCTATCACCAACGGCAGCCATCCATATCTGCCATTTATACCATACATTGTCGTACAGTCAGATTTCTGTCAGTTAGTTATGCATATTCATTGATCTTACCATACTTTGCTTTACACCCTAAATTCTGTCATATTTTGACACCTTATAAGTCCAGATATAAGTCCAGATGGTCACAAATTTAGGATTTGAATTTATTGGATTGTCTCCAGAGCAGCAAAGCCTCATAAACAAAGAAAATAGGCTATCTAAAACTTCCAATTAGAAGTATCAGGTTCGTTACCCCATTCAGACCAGTTGACCTTTTTGGGTGGCTTAGCTAGGTCGAACCAGTAGGACTTTGCCTCACTCCAGGGTGTTGGCTTAACCTCAATCCACTGACGGAAGCCGACCATAAAACTATAGGCTATAAATTAGTAAATCCCTTTGGAGCAAGCACAGTGCAACTGCTAAGGAGGGTCGTACAGATTACCGGAGGCGGAATCCCAAACTAAATGCGAGGGACCAGAGAACAAAGGGCGAAAGCCAATAGTTTCGGTCTCACTAAAAGGGGCCGATGTTAGTACTCATCTATTATAGGCAACGTAGAATAGAGGCGTTAACTCACCGGATTGTCTTGTTCTTAAAGGCTTCCCGAATATTGTGGCGTTGATCAGGACTCATATCCCAGAAGACCTTTGCGCCAAGACTATCCCCTAGCTGAACACCAGGCACTTGCTCCCACGCAAACGAGACCAGGAAGCCAGCGGGTACAAGAGCAGAGCTGTCTTGCTCCTCTTCCCTATATCCTAGGAGGCGGGGGGTGACTTTCGACTGCTTATCGGTAAGAGTTTTGTATGCTACTAGCTCGGGCGGAGTCCACGCCCTAGCTTGCTTAGCGCGGGTAGCATAATCGTCAAACTCTGTGCCGAGGTGGGGCAGTTGCTTATATATCCTAACGAACGCGATTTTGCTAGCATCTCCATGTTTCTTGCACTGGTACTTAACGGAGGCATAGGAGACAGCGGAGTGGTCGGGATCCTTTCGGTGCTCGTGTTCGTTAACGCGCCTGAGGACAATCCAGGTAGAGGGCGTAGGGGCATCGAAGACAATACTACGGAGCTCGGGGCCCCGGAACCAGGAATGCTGCGAAGTCATTTTGATTGATAAGATTGAAGGAGCAGGGTACGGAAACAAAATGATGGCATGGCGAAGAGGGAGAAAGTTGATAGCTAAGTGATGTATGAGAATGGTGAACTTTATTTTTGGCATGTGATATTCCTATTCGTCTATTTTTGCTTTGTTCCATTATTTCTTTATTCCTATAGGTCTATTTATTTATTTTGTTCCTTCATCCTCTATTGCTATTGGTCTTCTTTGTTTATTTTCTTCTTTGCTCCTATTGACCATATCGCCGCAAATAGTCCATCGTCTACTATACTTACTGGCCGAATGGCCTGCACCGAAAGTACTAAGAGCTTGTCTGACATTATACAGAGACACTACAGCACTAGTGAGAGCAATATCCACTCCAGTCGATCCGAATAGCAGCTGTGCGAGGCACAAATATCTTATAGAAGGTATACATCACATCACAGCTATGCTTTCTTAATAATGCCACCCATAAAAATAATTATAAATATCAAATATGTACATACCGCAATTTAAGGTTACGGACATACTAGTCAAATCAGGTGCGGGGCGATAACTCACGAATAGGCTACCGAGAGCTGACCACTTCACTAGTTAGTAGGCCTTGACAAGTCCCACAGCACTGATGCTGCAGAGATAGTCCGGTCGTAGCACTAGACCCTCGGTCCTGTGCTGTAGTGCTGCGGCGGGAGTGCTATAGCATTACATTTAGTGTAAATATCGATCACCTCGTGATATATATAAGTTAAATAGAAAAACTTTATAATTTTAGCTAGTTATATTATTTATAGTATGATGCTCGGCTTCTTCTTCGCTCATCACCTACCGAGGAATTACTAAAGGTTTTCGTTAGATAATAGGTACTATATAACGTATTCGGCAAGCGAGTGGCCACCTACCCAAATGTATTAATTTCAAATGCATTTATCTCAACTATAACGCCATTAAATTAAATATACTAAAATCATCTATCTAGCTAGGTATCTATTAAATCTATACCCTATCTCTCTATACCTACTATATCTTAGTATAGCCCGTATACGTAGTTCTAAAGCCAGTTTTTTATATATACCGGTACCGGTATAGGGTACTTTATCTACTTCTACGAGCTTAATAATTAATTAAGAAGCTTCTTGTTACGGACCTACCCGTCACCAATCAGTGGTGACCCACTAGGCACACCAATAAGCCATCAAGAGCCAACCAGCAGATCTGTCATCAGGTCACGTACAGCTAGACCTTGCCAACTCCCATGGGAGTGGAAATTTTTTACTCCCACCCCCGTGGGACTAGAGTAAAATTTAGTCCCATGGGACTAAGCTAAGCCTATTTAAGTAATAAAATTACCTAAAGAGGCAGTTCAACTTGTCTTGGCATAAAATCTAAGATTTTACTCCCGCCAAGAAGCCAAGAAGTCTTGGCGGGAGTTGGCAAGGTCTACGTACAGCATCCTAGACTGCGACAACGCCCACCAAAGTGGAGACACTTTTAGCGTCGCCAAGACATATGCGGGCACATTCTTGGCAAAGTGGATACTGCCAAGATCTGATTATGTACATAAAATAGCCTAATAGGGTAGTTTTTGCATTAATTTTGCATAACGGTGGGCGATGGACGTCAAATTTCAAAAGGCCCACGGGCCGTGGACACTTTCTAGTGCCCATGGACGGGCGATGTCGCAGTCTATACTTTATATAGATTTATAGAGAGAATCTGTTTTTTAAGCGATTCCTCTTTAATTTCTATTAATTTAGATAAATTAGCGCGAGAATTCGCGCGGTATTATATTCTATTAATTCGGCGGCGGAGAGTTATACGCGGGATATTAAATATACGCGTAGTAAGAGAACTAGAGCTAATATCTCTATTTTTAAAAGCCTAGATAGCTAATAAGATCCTACCCTCTTACTCTATTAAATTTATAGAGGGTTAAGAGCATATTAGTAGTATAGTAGGTGGTTGAATTAACTAAGTGCTAATTTATAGACGCGTTTTTAGTTGGGGTGGCCACTCGCTTGCCGAATACGTTACACCTCTGGTAATAAAGTCATCAATTTAGTCATTGTTATATAACCAGGTTAGATCCTGCTAGTCTCGCGACCAGATATATTTAGTATAGCTACATTTACTTTGCAAATCCTTGTTTCGATAGTCGGGCACAGATGATGTGCGGACAGTATGATTCATATTGAGAAAAACATATAAAACAAACATAAAACTTAGAACTAGGTATCAACAGTCCAAACACCACGCAACCCAGTGTCAGGGCGAGGGTTTACGAGTGAGCACAGGGCCAAGTGCATCATCCCCTGACGGAGAGTAACATCCCCTTGTCCAGTATACACGTCATCATGGTAGATCAAAGGAGAGAATTCCAAGCCCCTAGTTCTACCAAAAAGGACCTGACGTAAAAACAAAGTCTCATTGTAAGTGCTTATAAACCCGAACTTGAGATCCAAGTCTTCCATGTATTGGGCGATTTGTCCTGTGTTTACATTTTACGTTAGCGCATAGAACTTTCTATCTCAGCCAGCGTTCATAACTGTATATAGGTGAGAGATCTTACCTAAGACTTGGCGAAGCAAGTTGTCCTCACCGAGGTCGAATTGCGAAACAATTCTCTCCAACTGGTGGTCGTACACCCAAAACGTCTTCATCTCGCCAACGACATGAGAACTGCCATTAGGTCGCATAATCATGACATCGGGTGTTTTTCGGTAATTCAGCGCGTTTGTCGTGCATTTAAAGTCGCCGAACACCAAATCAATATTATTGACATCGAATATAGCGCCCAAAACTTGTCCTACACGTTCGTCAAAACGCCCCTGTAATCCTGTCTCATCACCGCATCGAATATGCTCGTTTGCTAGTGGCCCAAGGGTGGGAGAATTGACGAGACTTGACGAGAGAGGGACTGGGCTCCAATTCGTATTTTGAAATGTCGCAGTGGCCTCATTATTAAAGGTCGCCCAACGACGTAGGGGTCCGACGTATCGAATATCGTGAATAGCATTCGACCGGGTAAAGTTCGGTCCAATAATGATACCAGGCAGTGCTTGTTGCAGTAGATCGGTGCTGGTAACGGGAATAGACATTTTGGTTATGCTTAGTGAAATCAAGTTCGTGTGGGAGCTCGGTGTTGATGTTTACAAAAACAAAAAAAAGGGTTGAAGCCTGACCACCTAGCACCATCTACACGCTCCTGCCCCGTAGACTTCACAGTGATACGCGCTGTGTCGTACGAATCCCCAACTGCTCTTGCATAAATTATCTATGAACAGAGCTAACAATGTGTCTAGTTTGTACATGTCTCCGAGGGAGCACTACTCAGTTAACCATTGACACTTTCTTCGTATTGCGTAGGCTCAGAAAATCAGTAATTAAAGGCAATAGATGTTAGCGATATACTAGAGTTGGTTATAATGCCTAAGGGAAAACACCTCGAATTTTCGATTTTAAACCATATCATATCGTGGCGTCGCAAATGTTGCACACGAGCTCGGGCATGCTTTTGGGTTGGGACATGAGCATCAAAGGCCCTCTCTCTGGACGACAACTCTAGGCGGCAGCGCTCGAGATGGATCTGAAAAGCTTCATTTCAACTGCAAAAATTTGGCGGACAGCGCCAGCGCGAAAGCCGCCGGTAAGGATATAGATCAACTTTGCACATCTGCAGACGTTGCAAGAAACCACAAGTTCTCGGCTCTTGATATCCTTGCAGATGATGATGGCAAAGAGTTAAGCTCTGACCCGGTCGACTGGAACTCTATCATGATATATGGCTCGGAGGCAGGTGGCAAAGAAGATGGGAACGGAGGTCGCGAGGTGGTAATGACCAAGAAGGATGGCACGACATTTGGCTACAACACCGTTCCAAGCCAAAAGGACATTGATGCTGTGCATACCATTTACCAGGACTCACTTCCAGTGCTTAAGAAGAAGTCAAGCACTCTTTTCTGGAAAAAAGGTAGCAAAAAGGTGTTTCTTACTGTGTTGGAGTTGGCTCGGCTGTATCTACGTCCACAGCTAGCCTATCCAGCTCAGCTTCAAGCCCGAAAGCGACCACCTCTCACCAAGGAACATCTGCAATTTCAAATTCTACAATCACTAGGATTTCTACCTCCGCGACACCTTATTCGACTCTTCCATACAACACCACCACCAATCCTGTTACCATCACGGACTCCACCTGGCCACCATCCCAGACTCAGACTGGTCAGCCTAGTGCCTGTGAGGATTTTGAATTCTAAATGAAGATGATGGTCTGGGCTGACCTGATGATAGGCAACAATTGGTATCAAGCAAAGCAGAGTGACACTTGCAAAAGCATCGTGTTCAAGTATTCCACGTGGATGTACCAAAATGACTTGTAAGTATCTTCCAAAGCCTTTAAAGGCATCTTCTGAATCAAAGCTCACTGAAGCATGAAGCCTTGATTGGAACCCAGCAGTAGGGAAGAACTGCACCAGTATCTATTTCGGATACTGGTACTGTGTTGGGATTAAACCGTAGGTCTCTAATAGTAACAATGGAAGCACAGCGGCCTGGTACCCGCCGTGGACATACAGTGTGCCGGTGGCCACAAATACCGAGTTCTCTGCTAGCCCTGTTCAGAGTGGCATTGCCACTGCTTGTCAAGATTACTATATTGCCGATGAGGTATGTTTCGGATATTTGGAATGATCATTACTAACATATTCCAGACGGATACATGCGAGAGCATTGTTGATTCAGAAGGCTTTTTGACCGAAGATCAATTCGTTGAATGGAATCCAGCTGTCGGTACAGACTGTTCCGACATCAAGTTTAGATATTATTATTGTATTTGGAACGGGACTTCAAACCCTATGCCATCAACAACTACCGCTGAGCCATCCCCCGTGCAAACAGGGATCACCTCTAGCTGTAAAGCGTGGTACAAAGCCAGCGACGGCGATGACTGTGATCTGATCCCGGAACAGTTTGGAACCTTCTCAAAATCTGACTTCCTGGAATGGAACCCGGCTGTCAAATCCGATTGCTCCGGCTTGGTTGACGGCGACTTCTATTGCGTCGCTGTTCCAGACACCTCGAACTGCATCGGCAACTGCTTTGCTAACTCTAACTACTCTATCTGATACCATTTCGAGCTGCAAGGACTACTGGCTTGTTGGAACGTGGGCTTTCCTATCCCCTTCTTCCTATATCAAGTGCTGACATTCAAAAAAACGACAATTGCACGACGATTGCTGACTCAAATGACATTTCCGTCGCCACCCTTGTCACCCGTCTCTGAAAGCAAATTGCAGTGGACTGACCACAGATACATATATCTGTGTCGATGCTCCCAGCCCTTCTGCGAGCCCATCGTCGACTCGCCTTCCGTCTTCTTAGACTGGCATGGCAAGTGATTGTATACGGTTCTACAAGGTCCAAGCAGATAACGACTGTTATGACGTTGCTCAAGATGCTGGGGTGGCACTTGATGACTTTTACAGTTGGAACCCTGCTGTCAAGAATGACTGTTCAGGACTAGAGAAGGGCGTGTTTGTCTGTATCGGAGTGTCAGGATATACAACTACTATCACCAGCGGCACCCCTGTTCCTGTGACCCCGACCCCAACACAAGTGAGTCCAGAATCTCCATCAACTTGAGTGTATTTACTGACACTATCTCAGACTGGAAGGGTGACTGGATGTCTTCGATTCTATGATGTACAAAAAGACGAAGGTTGCGCGGATATAGCATCTGATGCAGGTGTGGCCCAAACGTAAGTTCTCAGTCACCGTACCCGTTTCGGCCTTTCTGAAAGATCTCGACGCTGATTGAATCAATTCAGCGACTTCTATAGCTGGAATCCGGCTGAGAGCACGAACTGCGCAGGCTTACAAGCCTCCGTTTTCGTGTGTATTGGAACGATGGGTCCAATCACAATCACCAGTGGAACCCCAGTACCGGCCACAACTAACAACTAGAGCCCTGGAGAGCAAGCAGAAAATATTATTCCAACAGTCTGGCGCGAATTGCTCTTGAAGGAGATAATTTAATAAACTTACCAATGACGTGCCAATTTCAAAGGCTGTACCCTAGATGATCCGAGATTGTTGAACACATGAAGATGTTAAATTATTGATTGCGATGACCAAAAGCCGGCGAGTTTGATTTAGCTAATTCATGCTGACACAAACGGCCATCGACTGCTCAGACCATACAGTCTCTGTGAGCTCCCACTCAGCTTGGCAAACCATTGCCTCTTTGGACTTCTGAAAATGTAGGTACCAATCGTGGGGTGCGCAGAGTTGCAATTGAGTCCAAGATCGGCTTTTTGATAATTGGTCCATGGGCTCAATAATGGCCTTCATCCTTTGCTCATTGAAGAAGTCGACAAGTGGGTCAAATGGTGGCATGCGGAGCTCTAATCGTAGGGAATGGACACCGCGGAATGCCTCACGAATTAAGTCAAATAAAGCCCAATACGTTGCCATAAAATCCTTTTCAGGGCTCTGAGAACTCCCAAAGCCAACCGGAATTGAGATATCCATTGATGTGATCTGCGAGGTACATCGAGGTGAAATCTTCCTCGAAATCAGGAAAGGTGTGTTCAGTGCTTTGTTCATCGCAAACACATTTGTTCCATAAAGAACCTGCAATGCTTCTTCATAGCTACAGAATGATGTTAGATGGAATTTTGATCATAAAAAGGCCACTCACCCGATTTGACAACTCCTCAGCCACTCCACGCCCTCGATCTTCAACGCTTTCGTGTCCTCGGCCACCTCATCTACCCAGTCCCCACAAAAAACCGAACCTTAGGTCCTTCGGAAAGCCATTTAATGGAGCACAGACACAATGCCACCAGTCCCACCGAGGCCCCTTGCGTTTTGGCTGCGGCACGAACGGCGAAGGATCCTTCCAGACATGTCGAATATGTACTCGTCGATCGCCCATGAGCTCGAGGTATATCAGCTTTCTTATTTCAGGTGGAAGCCTAAAGAAACCACTCAGACTTTGCAGATTGCGCTGCCGGGCGCCAATTTTGCCTGTGTGATATTTTGGTGGCGGTACAGGGAGTTTCCATTGATTGAATATATCGCCGTTGATCTCGCAAGTGGAATCAGAGATTCCTATTGCATTTGGAGACTATTCTTCCGGTGGAATGCCGGGGGACGTCTCTTTGTTACGTTCGAAAATTTTCGAAAAGATCTTTGGGGCCATGACGATGGTTTGTTTGGGAGGGCAATGGCAGAGGACTTTATGTATAGTCGGGCGTGGACGAATATGTATAGTGCGTGGCAAATGTGCCGAGTGGGACCTGGCTCGCTGGTATCGGTAGGATGAGAGTTATAAACACAGCTGCTAGGGAGGAAGATGCGTAGAAGTCGTGGTTTGCTCGTGGCTCGTTTTGGGCTTGGGAGAAATCTAAGGAGCTTCTTGTTTAATCATGTTTGTGACTCCCTTGATCAAATTTCTTTCTACGCGGCTTCAGTCAAATATTACTATCATCTGCCTCATCACACTTTGAACCGATACCACAGACAGCTTCTTATTTTTAAGGTCATTATTTAGTTGAGATTATTGAGAATTGAAAAGTTTTGACACGGGCCTGTTTGTCATGATTATTTCTATAGCTAAAGAGAACCTTTTTGCGACTACCAATAGTTTATATAAGAGGTACTCTACAGTATATAGTATATAAGAATCTACTTTCCTTTCTTAAGTATGAAGCCATCCTTCTACCCTACTATTAAGATATCAAAGAGCCTTGTATCTCTCGAACTAACCTAAGAGATGCCCATACCTCCTACTCTTAACCGGAACGAGCTAACAAAAGAAAGCGCGAGTTATTAGATCTAGATAAGAATCTAGTTAGGATACTAGAAAGCCGTAAATAGACTGCGCCAAAATCCACTAGTGGGTCGAGGCCCCGGACCAAAAACAGTGTCACTGAGTAATCAGTGAGCATCCAATGACCATTTATATAGTATCAGTCATTATGCACGTGACTGTTCTGAGCTCATCACTGACTCTGAGCTCGTGCTAAGATCTACTCTGAGAGCCCGAGTCGAGCGCCCTCATTAAAGCGGCGGCAGCCCAAATAGGAAATCCCCACCCACCAGGGAAAATTCGGTTCATATAGCTACATATACGTATAATGATCATCAGGATATTCAGCACGTTCACCTACAAAGTCAGCCTATTTACCCTACATCCTACATATACGTGAATCCTACTGCCACGATAAATTTGGAAACACTTTTTGAAATTGCATTGGATAAGAGAACTTTCCTTCTCGTGGCCATCTCAGGGCCGTTGGTTCGTTTTTTCCCCTCCCAATTCGAACCCGAGAATTCATAAGTATACCCATTCTTCCAGCGGCGACAGCGTCCTAGTCCCCGAGGTCCGAGAAAAATGATCAGAATAGACAAGGAAACGAGGCAAGGTGCTCCTATTCGGAGACAATCAGCCTCCACGGACCCGATAGCAGAGGACATGCAGTTGCAGGTCAAGCCAACGCCATACAGAATGCAAAGAATACCCATTTTTTGGTTTCGAAAAACACCAGTCGCGCCGTGAGATGTGACTGCGAGATAACTGGTATTCGACAAAGCCCGGAGAAAGAAAGCGCACGTTTGTGTTTTCGAAATTCGACTGCAGAACGCACGAGGGCAGCAACAGAAACAAATGTCCGCCATGAGATACCGACGCTGTAAAAAGTCTATGCTGCATATTATGAATGCAGCCATAACAACACCGAAGATGAATGCGAAGAGAAAAAGAAAACTTTTCGAGATGATGAAAAGTCATCAATCTCCGCTCGGCGCACGCGCGTCACTCGAACGTGTCCCTAGTGGGGATGCTCGAACATAAGGGGTATCTGACGAGAGCGGACATGGAAAAAAAAAAAAGACAACGCATTCTATGATGTTCATGCAGTTTCGATCATGGGTTGCCCGAAGAGAGTAGTGCCTCCCAGGAGCAAGAAAAGAAGACCGGACTGCGCGAATGCCTCGTATCCGTACAAAGCAATATTGAAAAGCCATGAATGGAATCAGCGAAGAGAGACATTAGAGGAACAACAAAGGAAACCAGATTAAAGCATACGCAAACGTGGAAAATATGAATCTAAAACAAGCATAAGAAAGTCGTGCAGTCATGACAAAGCCGTCCCTGAGAGATAGCACAGGTAGAAAAGATCTCAGGGACTCAATCTGATCGTATCCGTCAACGAGAGACAAAAGAAAATAAAGCAAGGGAGCCAATCAGACCCGAGGGCATCGTCAAAAGACCACGACTGATTTACCACCAGGAAGAGGGGCCAGAGGAGCCGGAGGGGTTGCCGTAGCTACCACCACCACCGTAGCCAGCACCACCACCACCGTAGGAGGGAGCAGCAGCACCGCCATAGCCGCCACCGTATGAGGGGGCAGCACCACCGGAGCCACCGTAGCCGCCGGCACCTCCAAAGCCGCCACCCATGCCGCCAGGGATACGACGCACGTCACGAGTAGCAGCAGCGCCACGGCCACGGCCACCACCACCACGGCCACGACCACTGAATCCGCTACCTTCACGGGCAATGCTCTCCAAGAAAGTGGGAACCTCCTGGTGGGCCTCCTTCAGGAGCTCGAGCAAGTCACGGACAACACCACGGTTGCCACGGTTGAAGAAAGCAGTGGCGATACCGGTGTTACCGGCACGACCAGTACGACCAATGCGGTGAACGTAGTCATCAATATCGGTGGGGAGATCGTAGTTGATGACATGGGTCACGTTAGGAATATCGAGACCACGGGCAGCAACGGCAGTAGCAACCAGAATGGGGCAGCGACCGTTACGGAAGAGTTCCAGAGCACGTTCACGCTCGCGCTGGGTACGATCACCGTGAATTGCGGTCGCAGGGAAGCGCTGGTTAATGAGGAAATCGGAGAGCGAGTCGGCCATACGCTTGGTCTCAACGAAAATCAGAGTCAGACCAGTGCTGCCGTGGGTGTGGAGAATGTCCAGCAGGACGGAGCGCTTATCGGCATCCTCGACATATTCGACCTTCTGGGTGATGTTCTCCGAAGTACTTCCGACACGACCAACGGACAAGAAGATGTAGTCCTTAAGGAAATCACGGGCAAGCATTTGGATATCGCGGGGGAAGGTGGCCGAGAACATGAGAGTCTGGCGGTTATCAACACTGGGCATGTCCTCACCCTCGACAATGCGGCGAATCTGGGGCTCGAAACCCATGTCCAGCATGCGATCAGCCTCGTCAAGAACAAGGTACTTGATGTTAGCCAGAGAGATACGGCCACGCTCAATCAGATCAACGAGACGACCGGGGGTGGCAACGAGGAGATCGCAACCACGCTCGATCTGACGAAGCTGGGAGCCGATGTCTGCACCACCGTACACGACACAGGGGCGAACCCACGAGCGGTAAGCGAACTTGCGGGCCTCCTCGAAGATCTGAGAGACCAGCTCACGAGTGGGAGCAAGAATGAGAGAGGTGGGGTAAGCCTTGCGCTGGCGGCCGTAGCTGAACTGACCACCACCACCACCCTGGGCAGGGGCGGCAGAAGGACCGTTCTGGAAAGCCTGAGAGAGGATAGGGAAAAGGAAACCACCAGTCTTTCCGGAACCGGTCTGGGCACAGGCCATAAGATCACGGCCGTTCATGACGATGGGGACCGAGTACTTTTGAACGGGGGTAGGAATGATATAGCTGGCAAGCTTGATGTTGGCGATCAGGTGGTCGTCCAGAGGGGGGTTAGTGAATTGGGTAACAGGCTCTGGGACATCATTTCCGGAGGCCTCAACGGGGATATCATCGTAGTTGGAGAAGTTGATTCCAGTCTGCTGCTTAGAGGGGTCGTTGGGCACTCCGAACAGCTCGCGCTCCAAGCGAGCATTGGCGGGACCGGGAACGTGCTTGCCGTCGCGCCACTGGCCATCGCCTGAGCCGCGAGCTTGCTGGGAGCCTCCACCACCGCTGTAGCTGCCGCCGCTGCTGCCACCACCGTAAGAGGATCCTGGGTTTCCGTAAGCATTGGGATTGAAGGGTCGGAGTTTTCCATCGGGAGTCCAGCTGGTCATACCGTTTGCGGGGCCACGAGGGCTGAAGTTGGGAGCGTTAGCGTTAGCCCAGTTGCCACCATCACTAGAAAATACAAAATCAGTTGTCGCTCCATAGGGCTCAGTCTCTTGGGTACTGTACCGAGGACCACCGAAGCCAGGGCCAGAAGGAGCGGCATCGACATTAGCACTGGGGCCGGGGCCGGGACCACGCTGGCGAAGGTGAGGAGGAATGTAGGCAGCACGGCCCACAGGGGCGTTACCCTGGGGGGCGTGCTGAGACTCGTTGAGGGAAAGGTTTCCCATTTGCAAACCGTCGGCCATTTTTGCGGTTGGAAATGTCTATTGTAGAGCAAGAGTTAGAAGCTGTCCGATGTCGATCGATGCAGGTGAACGATATTCCGTACAGTTTTTTTTTCTGCTTCACCGGAAATAATTCGTTGGTTGTAGATAAAGCGCAAGTGATCTGGAAAAGATACTTGCAAGGAATAAGAAACCCACGTAAAGTGTACCTTTAGAGAGAGAGAGAGAAGAGAGAGAGACGGTGAAAAGATCAAATCGCTTTTCTGTTTCAACTCGATAAAAAAAAAAAGATCGAGTGGCAAACAAGTAAAGCTCAGGAAAACCACAGAGAAGACGGAAAATGCAAATCTCCTGATTCTAAGAACTCTAGAGAGAAGAGAAAGAGAGAGAGAGAGAGTATTGAAAAAGGGATGATGGAGGGGGGTTGAATCAAGAGAGAAAGAGAACGGGTGGATGAGTCTGTGGGAAGGAGGCAACAAAAGTTGGAGAGTTTGGGGCGCTGTGTGGCTATTGGAGGTACCTCAGAGGAACCTAACTTTATAGTGTAAACAACTACCTACCAGAAGTACTCCCAAGGTATTTACCGCCACTGAAGAAATTTCCACTCGCCAGTTGCTGCTCGAAGGCGGTCTGGACGCCTTGTCTGACTAAGAGAGGTGTATGATTTTCCACCGGTCCACCTGGGCACCAAAGTATAGTTATCACCACCTACGTGACCAAGGTAACATGCACAGATGATCTATCAAGTTGTGATGATGAGAATCATCAAATATTGAAATCCAGGGATTTATGAGGCGAAAACTCAAAAAATAATGTATAATTGATTTAACATCATCCTTTATGCATCGTACTGTTCTTTCTCTTGCTGTTGCTGCTGGCCTCGTCGACGCGCAATCCAGATACCCACAACGGCGACCAGAACGAAGAAAATCACGGCCGGCTGCAGGGAGTAAGATGGCGTGGCGGTCTCGGGAGCATCGGGGGCATCGGGAGCTTTGTCGGTGACACCCGGCTCTTGGTCGAGTTCTTAAGATTTCCAAGATCATCAGCCACTTCTGACCAGCAGCAGAGAAAATATCGCGCAGACAGTCACCTGTCTAGAGCTCATCGCGGCTACCTTTGTCCTCGGTCTCGGGCTCAAGCTCGAGCTCACCGCTCTTCACAATCTTAACAGCCAGCTTGGGCTTGTCGCCGGGTCCCTTGGGAACGTTTTGGATCTTGTCGACAATCTCGTAGCCCTCGAGGACTTCGCCGAAGACGACATGGCGGCCATCGAGCCAACTGCGCGGTTCCAGTCAGTTACTGCACCAAAAAATTTATTGTAGGAGATACGAACGAGGTGACAGCGGTGGTGATGAAGAACTGAGAGCCGTTGGTGTCCTTGCCGGCGTTGGCCATGCCTAAGGATGGTTAGATTCCTCTGAGATCGAATTAAAGGAGTCAAAATGCCTACTCAGTTGACCCTTCTTGGTGTGACGCAGCTTGAAGTTCTCATCCTTGAACTTGTTGCCGTATATCGACTTTCCGCCGGTGCCTATAAACACTTAGTATCATGTAATCTAACATCTTCGCAGGTTCACAAACCATCGCCCTTGGTGAAGTCACCACCCTGAATCATGAAATCCTTGATAACACGGTGGAAAGTAGAGTCCTGGTAACCAAAGCCCTTCTCGCCGGTAGCCAAAGCGCTAGAAGTGGGTTAGCATCCAGGATAAATGTTGGATACCTTGAGGTAGCAAGTTCACTATACCGGAAGTTCTCAGTGGTCTATAGAAATAATTGTGTTAGCAATAATTATCAATTGCTGATTCCATGGGGATATAGTTCAACGAACCTCAGGAACGGTCTTGCCGTACAAGCCCATCACAATGCGACCAAGGGACTCATCTCCATGCTGAATATCGAAGTAGACCTATCACCAAAAATAAGTATCGCTTGCATATAGATCTAGCTAGAACATCAATGTCAATCACCTTGGACGTAATCTTGGGACCGCGAGGCTGCTTAGCCTCTTCGGCCTGAACCAGCGCAAAGCCGACGGCGAAAACCAAAAAAAGGGACACAAAAAGGTTCCGGAAATACATGCTTGCTAATTGACACTGCTCTGGTGGGATACAGCGAAAGAGGGAAGATAGAACCTTTAGGGGGAGGGAGAAGAAGGCCAGCTTGCAATGGCGTGCGGAGAATAGACATGTTAGTGCCGTGAAATTAAGGCACCAATCTACTTCGGAAAAACGTTGACGTTGACGGAGGATTTCTCCCGGAGTTCGACGAGAGCAATAATTGACGGCTCCATACGATTGTCAGGACACCAGCCAGCCAACACAGATTAAGATGGTATGATAGCCACCTTCAAGATCCAATCTACCCTATCAAATAAAAACTCCGCTAATAACGCTTAGGTTTTCATCCTCGGTGTCAATTTCCCCGAGCGGAACCTGCTCAAGGCAAGCCAACCCTCACAATAGCGCCCGCAACCTCGATATCCCAACTAACATGCATTGAACACTATAGAAGTCTCTTGAGACCTTCTTCGGAATTGGCAACAACAGCTCCGGCCGCCTCATGTCCCGCTTCAACATCCACCCGACCTGCCGCGTCGGCGAGCTAGCCAATAAGCAGGTCCTCGACCTCACAGCTGTGCTGTCCGATATGAAAATCGAGAACGATCTGCGCAGAGAAGTTCTGAATGATATCAAGCGCATGAAAGAGACCGGAACTTACCGCGGCCGACGTCATGCGCTGGGTTTGCCTGTGAGGGGACAGCGGACACGGACTCAAGTGGGTTTCCCTATTTCTCCCAGTGCTCTCTTAATATCTCAGCTCGCGCTGCTGCATCCCAAAAACGCTATGCAAGTTCATGGCTAACGAATTCTCAATAGATCAAAACTCCTGTCAAATTGAACCGCATGGAGCGCAGACTATAAACTTGGTGGTGCCGTGTTCGATTGTTACTTTTATGGGATTGTCTCACTATTTTGCGCAAGAGGCATGGGCTTGGCGTTTTATTGATTCATGGCACTCGATTTCTGCCAGTTTGTATGTGAATGGAACCCCTCTGTGGATGTATTATAGGCTAGGCATAAACCTGGGGTGAATGGAAGCTTCAAAACAAAAATATATGTACGGCAAAGTCGTAGTAACTGTCAGGTGCAGTCTGATATATATCCAATTCCGAGCTAAAGATATACGCGAAGATGGAAAAGTAAGCAGAAAAAAATGTGTAAGTCTAAACTTTTGCCCTCAACCAAGTGTTAAACGCCAGGCCCATATGTGCACTCATGCCTTTGAAGACAGCACGCCTTCGCCGCGGTTGATCTGGATCCGCTTATCCTCACCCGCGCTGACAATGCCTACCGTCTTGTCCCAGCACACGCTGAACACCTTGACACCTTCACCGCCAACCCGCTTGCTATCCGACTTGCCCTCCTCCTCGAGGCTCTTCCGGGTAATCGAGTAAACGCTCTCACCAACAACACCTTCCTTATCGGTCTTGGTGGACCGGATATCCCAAATTCTGCATGTGCCGTCGTGGCTACCGCTAATGAGACCATATGTGCTGTGAGGGTCACGGGCCAAGCTGACAACAGCGTTGGTGTGGCCTCGGAGAGTCATGGCAGCCACAGTCGTGGCAGATGCGCGGGGGTCAATCAGAGTGATATGGCGGGCAGCAGTACCGGCAGCCAAGAGGCTGAGTTCGGGGAGGTGCTCGAGGGAGAGGAGCGAGTGTGATGTGGTGCGAGTATCAACCAGAGAACCAGTGACCAAATCCCAAGTGCGCAGGGAGTGGTCCCATGAGGCCGAGTAACCAACGGTAGCATCTTTTCCGTCGAAAATAGCAGCAGAGACAGGTGCGGTGTGAGCTGACAAAAGAGTCAGAGGACCACGCTGAGGTGTGGTGACGGATGTGTTCAGCTTGCGGCGCTTCGTGTTCCGAGCATTGCTGGAAGGAAGCAAGCTCTCAGGTGCTGCCGGAGAATCAGCCTTCTTAGTTGACCAGAATCCAACGGTATTGTCTGCAGAACCAGTCAATAGACGGTTGGACTTGGCATGAACTGCTAGTGACTCAATTCCAGCCTTGTGACCGTACAGCTCCAGCTGAGGAGAAATCTTTCCAGTGAAACCACCTTCACCCTCGGTATACTTCCACAATCGGACCGTGCGATCAAGACCTGCCGAGGCGATCTGGTTCGGGGAAACGAACTTGGCGGCTCTGATAGAGGCGGTGTGGCCACCCTCGGCGGCGGCAGGAGAGGTCGCAAGAGTCTCAGACGACATGTTCCAGATGCGAAGCAGACCATCATAGCTTCCTGATAGGATTCTTTCCTGGCCCTTGGTGAAAGTCGCACCTGAGGCCCAGGATGCAGCAGGTGAAGTCGTGGAAAGGACGTCTGTTGCGCTAACCCAGTCATCGTGCTGGAACGAGGCGATGTGCAGGGGCGGGATCAGGGCTCGAACATATTCAATCTCGAGGGTCGTCTCAGCAGAGATGCCGTTATCGACCAAATATTCATCAATCGAGGTCCGCAAAAAAGTTCCATTGATCAAAAACTCAAATGGAATGGGCTTTTCGCTTGAAAGAAGGTTGTTCACAAGTGTCGACAGCGCATATCGTCGAAGTCCTTTTAGAGGAAGAGTTAGTGCTTGATACTACCATTTATGATTTTTGATCGGCAATGGGTTCTCACCAGTAGGAACAAGAATTGGGCCGGTGCTTTCAGGCAGAGCAATATCCTCCTGTTGGCTGATAAGCTGCACTCGAACTTGTCTCAGCGCAGACTCTGCTGCAGCAGAAGTGGCCAAATCTTCACTCATTGTAAAATTGTTAGTTTGCTACCGATGTTGCAGATGGAATCTTTTTTGGTGGCTGTCGCATTTTCGGCGGGTGAGAAAAAATACGGTGACCCGTGCGGCACACTTGCGCAGAGCGCGGAGATGGCTCCACTCGGTCTACATAGTTGATTGCATTACACTGCAGCTTTAACATATATCTGGTCAATAAATTGTATTTCTATTGGGCGGGTTGCGTTTATCCTCTGGGCGCTTTTCGAATGTCTGAAATAGCACGTCGCCGGTAATCAGACTCTGCAAACAAGGCCTCGATCAGGTCAATCACTTCCTCAGCAGAGAACTCCAAGCTCAGCTCGCCTTCGAGCCAAAGGAATTTGATATCGGCGAGGGAGCTCTCCAGAATATTGATCATATATTGGAAACGGAGCCAGCTCGGGACGTAGATGGCAGTGACGGGCAATGCCTCGGCATCACCATGTGTTTCGGGAATGAAGAGGTCCTCCAATTTGGAGAGTTGGTTACAGAAGGAGACCAGTTGCCGTGACTGATCCTCCGAGATATCACCCAAATCTTCGATGTCAATGACCACCTTGTTGATCACGGTAGACAAGAGAGATCCAACTGATTGAAGCAGTGCAGAATGAGACAGTATGGGTTGCCATTCTTTGTAAACATCGCGAATCCGATCGACAGTTGCACTAACAGAATTCTCACAGTCTGCTTGGAATGGCTGCTCAGAGCATTGCCCAAATCCTTGGGCTCCATCAAGCAGATCTGTGACGATGGTGCGCTGCGTCTGCATCTCTTTGCCATATGCAAGTTTGCCAAATTTCTCCAAAGCTTCAACATCGGGCTGAAGCCGGGAGAGTTCATGTTCCTCGGCCAGTTTCCGGATTTCATCGGCCAGGTACAAACTATCATTATAAAGGTACATCTGCCCTGAAGTAAGCTTCAGTGAGTAGAATGTGGAGGAGGTAGCTTTGAACATGGCCAAGATCAAGGTTGGCAGCGCAAGAAGACCAGCACCAGAAGAGGCGACGCGGGAATTGGCATGGCTGAGCTCTAGTTAGTTGGATGCAGAAAAAAAGCCGAAGAAGGCATGAGCAGGATAGTATCACTTACGCAGGCTGCAAAATATCCTTTGAATCGGTAACTTGCTGCTGAACAACACCAAGAACAGACTCAGGGATATCGGTGATAGTGAAGACTTCCTTCAGGGTGACCTCTTTTGGTGATACGAATGCAGTTGAATTCTTCTTTTCGGTTTGGTTTTTTGCTGCTGTGCTCTGGGACTGCGAAGGCTTATTATCGACTTGATGGTCATCTTCATCTTCATCCCCCCAGCCCCAGGCATCATCAGCATCATCGTCTGCCGTAGAAGCAGCTGCCTGTAGTTTGGCCAGATCGGGAGTCTCCTCGATGTCCTCGTCATCAAGACCCCACGCACTAACGTCTTCTTCTTCCTCGGGCTTTGCTGTTTCTACCTTCTTAGGCTCATCTTCTTTATCGTCATCCCAATCCGCGTCCCAGTCATCATTGCCGGCGTTCTCCAATAAAGCACCCTCAGCTTGGGAAACCTTTTCCTTTTCAATTCGTTCGACCTGTTTCGTTGTCCCCTGACTGGCGGCAAGGACTTTGCGAACGCTATCGAGCGAGTCGACTCTACGCCGAGTCAACCATAGGCGTGGAGCTTGGTTAACCCACGAGACCAGTTCTTCTTGGCCAGTCCAACCCCAAGACTCTGTCTGCTTGGTGAACTCTAAAACATGGTTCAAGACGTTCTCAAACTCGGCGAGGCCACCTAGATCGGTGGGAATAGCAGAGGATAGCCACTCAGAGATCGCCTTTGAGGAAATAGTCACAATGAACGATTCGGAAAAAGTTGCGGACACCGATGACGGCAAATTTTGTCGCAAGTAGCCCAAAACGCTGGAAAGGCGATCCAAGGTCTCCAGTGCGGTAGCCTTTGAGGCCACAGGCTCAATGCGAATGTTGGTCTCCGTCACCACCACACCATGGCTGGTTCCATCAGGGTGAGGTAGCAAGATCGGATTTACGATCGCAGACAAGAGATCCTTTTGTAGTTTCTCAATGGCAGATCTAAGTATATTCAGTCGGGCCAACGACGTAATGGTGCTCTCAAGAGAATCTGCATCTGCATCTCCGCTGGAGACATGAAATTCGCCCTGTTGTCGGTCAACTTTCAATTGTTCAGCCCAACGCGAACGAAGCGCCTCGGCAATCTCCGATCGCAGCAGCGACACCTCATCAGAGAGTATACCCATAACATTTGTGTTGGCAAAGAAGGCATCCTTTCCAACGGCTGCGTCGGTGGACTCCAATCGCTCAATGGCGGTGGTGATCTGGCCACTTCTGAGGGCAGCTCGCCCTGTTTCCAGCTGCTGACACAAACGGTGCACTTCCTCGAGGGTACCCGCTACGGCCTGATTGAAGGCAATCTCCGTCTCAACCAAGGCGACTTTCGCCCTCGCATCCTCAACCTTCGCCTGCAGGGGTTCTGTATGCTCATGCTGCGCGACTATTTCTCGCGCAGTCAATCTTGAGCGTTCTATATCTGCATGAAGTTGTTTCGCTTGGATAATCCAGTCGTCGGCATCGAAGGTGTTCTCGCGACTCAAGGAGCTAATCTCATTCTAATTAAGTAAAGAAGCGCTGGTCAGTAATCGTCGACGTGCATAGATAGACATTGGAAATTCCGTACCTCTACCTGCTCGCGCGCCTTCGAGATAAGCTCGAGTTCCTTGGCGAGAGCAGCTGCTGGAAACTTACCAGCAACTACACTCTCCTCGGGATACGTGCCCTCAGTGACGAAGCCTAGTACTGCCTGGCACAGCTTCTCGGTATTTCCTCCCATGATGCCAACTTTCCCGGAATGAAGCATGAATCGTCAGGGAACACAAGGTTCGGAGCTTCGGAGATACAAAGTGTAGATGCACATGTAAAGGAAGAGTCGAGCTGTCAACAACTCGTGACTTCCAAGGTTTGGGCGTCACCGCCCCCACGTGGTGTATGCTGTATGTTTTCGCTCTAGATCTATAAATTTTACTAGAAGTTAAAAAGACTATATATCCTTTGAATATTATTAGTTTCAAAGAATTCGAAATCTAATATTTCTTTGTTATATAAATTCTTTCAGGTTTCCGCTTTGTAAGGAAAACCGGAGACTGAGGTCTTCCCCAAACTTTGAAAATTCCGGGTC